AGGAGGGAGGAGGAGGAGGGAGGAGGGAGGAGGGAAGAGGAAGAGAAGAGGGAGGAGGGGGAGAAGGAGGAGAGGAGAAGACAAGACGGGAGTGGGGGTGGGAGGAAGAGGAGAAGAAAGAAGAAGGTTTTCTCACCCGTGAATCGGGCTTGGTGGCTAATCTTGCCTGCCGTATGGAGCTGTAGGGAGGGCTCAGCGTCATGAAAGGATGCAGGGCATTGACAAAAACACAGCCATTTATTTTCTGAGGTTTTCTTTTTTCCCTGCAGTGCTGAGGATCAGACCCAGCTCCTGTGCATGCTAGGCAACTGCTCTACCACAGGGCTACATCACCAGCCCCAAACACTCATTTTTTTCTTCCTTTCCCTCACCTATTAGGCTCCAAATATAAAAGTCACGCTCACTCTGGCAGCATGTATACTAAATTGGAATGACCCCCGGCCCCCACACCAGGATAACACACATATTCACAAGCGTTCCATATTTTCTCTAAAAAAACTTCTGCACAGCAAAGGAAGCAACCACAGAGCAAAGAGACAGCCCACAGGTGGGAGAAAATATTTTTAAACTATTTGTCTGACAAGGGATTAATATCCAAAATACAAAGGAACTCAAACAACAGAAAAAAAATAATAATCTGATTAAAAAATGGGCAAGTGGTCTGAACTGACATTCCTTAAAAGCAGATATACAAATGGTCAACAAATATATGAAAAGGTATTCAATATCACTAAGCATCAGGGAAGGGTCTATCGAAGCCTCAGTGAGCTTCCACTCTCCCTGGTGTGGTGGCCTGTGATCCCAGCAACTCAGGAGACAGAGACAGGAGGATTGCAAGGTCGAGGCCAGTCTCAGCAGCTTAGCAGGGCCTAAGCAACTCAGTGAGACTCTACCTCAAAATAAAAAATAAAAAAGGCTGGGGATGTGGCTCAGTGGTCAAGTACCTCTGTGTTCAATTCCTAGTACCAAAAAAGAAAAAAAAAAAAAAAAAAAAAGGTACCGCCTCACCTCTCTTAGAATAGCTGTTATAAAAAAGACAAAAATAAGTAAATACAATAAAGGTATTGGATCCAACTACAACTGAAAAGAAAATTTTAAAAAGAAACAGAAATGTAGTTTTCTGGACTGGAAAGGTGTAGCTTAGTGGTAGAGCATGTGTCCAACTTGAGCAACTCTGAATTCAACTCCCAACACCAAGAAGGAGGA